TCCTCTAGTAATAACTTTTCGACCACATCTTTCTCTTTTCAGGATGCAAAACACATAATCAAAAGCAAATTTTTGTATAGCGGCCATCAGAAATTGAAGCGAGTTCATAATTTAGCTAAAGTCAGGAAAAAAAAAGGGACCCGCCTAGCGCCTAGGCCGATTTTTTCAACTGCCTAACTGAACAAAAGCACCGTTTATAGGTTTTGAGCTCTAATTATGAACATCATTACCGAATTGAACATTACAGAACAAAATCCACCACCTATTCTAGTCAAACAATATGGGTAGAATATTTCAAATGTATTTCATTTTCCGAAAGGAGGTATTTATAATACAAGGTTACAAACCCTAGTAGGGTTATACTAGGAAATAAGAAAAGTCCTAATTACATAATATCTATACAAAAAAGGAAATAAATAAAATCCTAATAGAATAAGAAAGAAATATCCTAATAAGACTAGGATATCTCGCCAACACTCCCCCTCAAGTTGGAGCAAAGACGTCACGCATGCCCAACTTGTCAAGCGAGTTGTGGAAGATACTAGTAGAAACAGCCTTCGTAAGAACATCTGCTAATTTTGATACTCAGAACTAATGCATGGGAAGGAAACAATCTCCGCATCCAACTTTTCTTTAATGAAATTTCGATCAACCTCCACATGCTTTGTACGATCATGTTGTACAGGGTTATGAGCAATTGCAATCGCAGCCTTATTATCGCAATATAAATCCATAGGTTTCTTAGGCCCAAAGCCAAGATCTCTCAATAATCTTCTCAACCACAGTAACTCACATACACCATGGGTCATTCCACGATACTCGGCCTCAACATTAGATCGAGACACCACCTTTTGTTTCTTGCTTCTCCAAGTAACAATATTACCACCAACAAACGTAACATACCCAGACGTAGAATGTCTATCAGTAGTCGAACCTGCCCAATCAGCATCGGTGTATCCTTCCACATTTGTATGACCATACTTGGAGAATATTAACCCATTGCCAGGAGTTACTTTGAGATATCTCAAAATACGCATCACAGCTGCCATATGATCTTCACTAGGTGCGTGCATAAACTGACTCACTACACTTATTGCATACGCAATGTCAGGACGTGTATGAGCTAAATAAATTAATTTCTCCACAAGTCGTTGATAGCGCTCCTTATCAGTAGAAACTTGATCATGATATAACCCCAACTTGTGATTTTGTTCACTAGGAGTATCAATTGGTTTACAATCCAACATTCCAGTTTCTGCAAGTAAATCCAAAACATACTTCCTTTGAGACAAGAAAATACCATGCTTAGATCTGGCCACTTCAATCCCGAGAAAGTACTTCAAGTCACCTAATGATTTATCTCAAATTCAGACCCCAGATATTTCTGGAGACTCTGTATTTCTGCCTGATCATCTCCAGTTACAATCATATTATCAACATAAATTATTAAAGCTGTCAATTTACCTTTCCAACGCTTCAGAAACAAAGTATGATCCAAATTACTTTGTACATACCCAAACTTCCTCATAGATGCAGCAAACCTCCCAAACCAATCTCTTGGAGACTGCTTTAATCCATATAATGATTTCCGTAGTTTGCACACCATACCCTCCTTAGAGGTTACAGGGATACCTGGCGGAGGGTCCATGTATATTTCTTCCTTGAGGTCACCATGGAGGAATGCATTTTTGACATCAAATTGTAATAGAGGCCAATCATGATTAGCAGCCAAGGATAAGAGTACGCGTACAGTATTGAGCTTTGCTACTGGAGCAAAGGTCTCCGCGTAATCCACTCCATAGGTCTGAGTATAACATTTTGCTACCAACCTTGCCTTGTAACGGTCAATGGAACCATCAGCCTTGTGCTTCAGAGTAAACACTCATCTGCACCCAACTGCCTTTTTTCCTTTTGGTAAAGGGACTAGCTCCCAAGTGGCATTCTTATTTAAGGCTTCCATCTCAACATGCATTGCATCTACCCATTTTGGATTTGATAGAGCATCCTGCAACTTAGTTGGCACACATACACTAGATAATTGACACAAATTTGATGCATATGACTTAGATAGCCAATGAGTTGACACATAATGGTTAATAGGATATTTA